CAAAGGTGGTACTGTAATCTCTAACCTAAAAAATCTAAGCGACCTCCACGCTATCTGAGATTCTCAGTAGCAGAGGGGTAGACTTGGTCGTAACGACCTCGGTTAATCGGGAGTGTACTGTGTATTTAAATAGTTTAGCATTGTATTTAAATGTTATTGAAAAAATTAAATTGGATTCTGTCATTCTGTATAAAAATTTTCAGCGTAATTGAGATCAATATTTGTTCAACCAACCTAATTAACAAAAAAAGCTTGAGAAATGTAAATTAAAATTGTGCACTATTAACAAGTTTTTTTTTTTTTTTTTTAATGTGATACTTAAAAATATAATAGGATTGGGATTTGTAATGTAATTTTTCTGGAATAAATTAATTATCTTAACCCGGTGATCAGGATTTTTATTTTGCTTGTGTAAAAACACCAGATGATTTATACATACAAGCCTAAATACGTCATTACCAACCTAAGAAACCAACGTTTGAGGTAACGGTAGCTATTAATAAACTAAACTTGTGTTAACCTTAAAAACAAACTTACTGAAGTTACCTGCATATCTAAAATCTAAAACCTCAGAGCCCCCAATGCATTTACAGCAAACAGATGTTTTGACAGAAGCATTGCAAAAAATAAACCTATGCACCAACCCGCAACGAAGAATTCTACTATATATTAGAATACACAATATCATAATGACAAAAAAAGAACAACAATTAACAAGCATACTGCACAAATTTTAACCAAAATTAAGAATTTACAATATTGAACAAGCATTGTTTATGAGTTATATAATTAGTTATAATGCATATACTATTGACACATACCTGTCAAATGAAGGGGTTTTATCGTTTCGGAACTTATTTTCCAGGGTGTATCCAATGGCTCCCACCACGATTGCAACGGGTAGTGTGATAGCAGGTGCATAAGCCCTGAGAATTTGGTAGAGATACGGAAAAACCATCTAAAATAGAAAAGAACAATGGTTAACATTTAAGGAGAGCTGCTGGCAGTTGATCTATTTTAGATATTAAGTTAGTGATTTTATAGGTTAAAGAAAAGTAATTTTCACCAAAGGTCAGCTACAGACATCCTTCACTTCTATGGCTGTACAGGGAATCGATCCTAGACCTGATCTCTGGACAAGTCTTACCACAGTATGCTAAGACTTGAAATGCCAAATAGAACCTGCCTCATTGTCTATGCTGATGATTTCGCCGTCTGGTTGCAGACAGAACCGTCCAAGGGGCAGAGCTAATTTGAACTAGGAGTAGTGATGCTACATATCAACAAGTGCGAGATCGTGGTACTATCCGAGAAGAGAATGCCCACCGTCCCTCCTGTGCAAGTCAGTGGGCTATGCCCAACTTTCGACGAGCAGATCAAGCGTACCGTTGACAAAGCCGCTAAGGGAGTCGCAGCCTGTAGTAACGTCGACAGTTCTCCCTCCTGCACTGTCCAATCAGTGCTCTTGTACGGTGCTGAGGTCTGGGTGTGCTAGGGACACGTGTCTTCTGTGACCGGCTTCCTCGTGTTCAGCTTCAAGGGGCTTTGAGAGTTGCTTCTGCCTACAGGGCCGTAGTTCCTATAGCGGTGGGGGGTAGAATAAAGATGGAGGAGGGAATGACAGAATGATTGCTAATGGGTACTTGAGATGGAATGTTTGGGAAATTGGTGGGGATTCGGGAATTGCAGAGCAAATAACCAGGGTAATGCCAAAGGGTTAGGAATAGCTGTGTCTGGACCAAACTTTAGTTAATTGTGCTGAATCTGCTATGGGTCAAAATCGGGAAATGGGATAATTTTAAGAAACATTTATTTTTTATTTTTTACTAATTAAAAAAATTATATTTTTAGTAAAATACAATAAATAGTATCATGATATATGCATCCAAGTTAGCAGCAGAGCTAACTTTTTTGTATTTTTCATTTTACAGGTGTTTTTAATGGGTGATGCAATTGAAATTTTACCACCCGGTCACACCTTTTAAAGTTACAAAAACTACAAATTTTGATGAGCAATTGTAAAAATAAAGCCATGGTTGTATTTATTAGACATATTGTCAATGTTTAAAAGTATTATATCCTTAAACTGTACAATTGACGTAAATGACCTTAAAAAGAAATGTTTTATTTTGAAATTTGTGTAATCAATACAACAACAAGTTGTGAAAAGGTTAGTAAAAATAAATAATTGTAATAAAAATTCACAAAAACAGCAACCAACAACTTAAGTTGATAATCTAAAATCAAAATGGTAGGTATACACTTTGGAAATATAAGAGTGAAATTACCGTGACCGGACTGAAATGGCCGTGACCGGACTGAAATGGCCGTGATCGGACTGAAGTGGCCAGCAGCGTTGATTTATTTTCACTTCAATTCAATATTTTTTTAAGACAATCAATATTATATAATTGGGGATGATGACTGAGAAAGAATACATGAAACAATGAAAGTTTTTATTTCTTAAACTTTGTTGAAAACATAGTCGTCCTCAAAATACACAAAACATTTGTACTAAGTTCAATGTAGGCCTGTCAATTACAGTACAAAACATTTATTTATTCCAAAAAAGTTAACAATTTTAGTTAAAAGGCATAAACACTTTAATACATTGTCATTTTTACACACTGTCCAAAGGAGCCTCAGAAAACTTATAAATAATACGATTCCCTCGTGATATCATTGTTGGCATTGGCAGCACTTTGACAACTTGGCTAGAGCTCACAAAAGAAACATCACTTTCATTGGGAGAAAGTCAACAGCGGCGTATTTCTCACATGACTTCATAAACATGACTTCAAATTCTTCATTTATAACTTCAGTTTGGTCAATTGCCACATAGTCCTGGCCTCTCGAAGTGCTTGGTCCCGCATGGCTGATCCTGATTATGAGAAAAGTTCCTACTGTGATCCCCATTGCATGTGGTAAGTCGACGTTTTCTTCACCTGAAAGTAAAACCATCTGACTGAAAAACATAGTCAAACCATCTAAAATTCAAAAGGTATTTTAAATCATTTCTATTACATGAATTCAGCGTCCACGACTTCCTGACTGATGGCTAGTATTAATCTTCTCTGTGAACAATGAAATAAATTGTAAAGAACTTATGATTTTAGCTTTTTTATTATTATTGTAAACGAAAATGTGTATATGTATATTTACTTTGGCTTAATAAATGAGTTATTTAATTACTTGGATTCACTGGTTCAAGAACGTCAACGTCATCTTTAAGAACGCCATTGTCATCTTCAAGAAAGTCAACGCCATTATCAAAAACGTCAACCCCATCTTCAGGAACGTCCATGTTCTTCATATCGTCGAAGGACGTTTCTTCAACTTCAGGCATGTAGCAGTCATCACTGTCAGAAGACCAGACGTTTTCAACCTTCAGCTTGCGTTTTAATAGTTCAGGAAAAACCTCAAAAAGTCTGTAGTGCTTGCACCACAGAAAATGGCGTTTTTTTGGCCATGGGACATGTGAAACATGACAGCATGTTTCCATACATTTTCCCTCCTTTTACAAAAGTTATTTGATGGCATTTAGTTATACCCTCAATTGGTGGAATAACTTTCCAATTTAATTTTTTTTTCTGATCTGCGATGTTCTTTGAGCCTATCTCAATCAAATGGATGTCCACACCTGACAGGGCCTTTATGAAGCTACCTGCATCAGTAATGTCTTTGCCTTGTAACACAGCACGGTCAGCTTCTCTTTTTAGGGTCCCGCCCACGCCATCCATTGATCCTTTACCATGGCCGGACTCCGTAAAATTCCATGTCATAGCCTTCAACTTAGGGAAAATAGTTGGAATGAGGTTTTAAATAGATATATTTTATTGCGGTTTCTATATTGACTGGACGGTGAATCGGAAAAAAAAAATGGATAACTTGAACATTAGGGTATTGGATTGCAGATCGTTTTAGAATGGGTTCAAGATGGGCCCAAATAGCATGTGACTAATGATCAAGATTATTACTTACTGTAGTGAAACATGCTGTTTGCGGCTGGCCTTCATAGTTAGAATATCTAACACCAGTGTGTAGGGACAATTGCCTTTTGGAGGCTCCAAAGTGAACCGACTGTACCTCTTTGGCATATTTTGCAACATAATTTTCAGCAAAATCAATCCTGAAAAGAAGCTCTTTAGGTTTTAGGTTTTTTAACTTTTCATTCAATTTGCTGTTTTGGTGAAAGGAATAATACAGGTGTTTTTTAAATCCGGCCACTTCTTTTTTGATAAGTTTGATCAATTGGGTTACTCGTGTGATTTTTTTCACTTTCGCAGTTCTTTTCACAAACTTCTTGTTGTTTTTTATCATCCTTTCTTCCTTGACATTCGTCCATTGGTAATACTTTATGCTGAAGTCACTATTATAAAAAAAGGCCAACTCTTTGTTTTTGCATTTTTGGAATTCGCCAAGCATACATGTTTTGCTTTTTACCGAGCAAACAAGTGATCTAATTACTTCTGTGGTGTTTTTTTCTTCTATAACTCTCATTGCTCTCAATGATTGAATTATCAGACCAAAGCTTTCGTGTTTGATACAACCACAGGTCTCTCTATCGCATCTTTTTGGGAATGTGACCCAAAATGGTCTAGATCTAGTGAAGGATGTTAATGAAATATTTTTCTTTGTTTCTTCCTGAAACCTTACATGGAGATTTTTTAGTGTATCCAGCAAAACACGCCTCTGTTTCGTGATTTTGTTACGTTTATGACATCCCTCTTCCCAGGGCAAATTTTGCTGACAGAATCATTTTCGAAGAAAGTTATCAATTCTTTGGCCAAAGAACTCCTCACTAAGCATTTCTTCTTTCCCTTAGCACATTTGTAAGGTATTATTTTTTTAGATGCGTTTGTACTCTATACTTTTTGATTACATCGCATCCCACTTCTTTTCTTAAGTGCTGGACCTTCTTCTTCTGCCCCTTAATCTCTTTAAATTTTCCCTCTATTTGCTTTTGTAACGCATATCCTACAAATAGCTGCTTATTAATCTCAGGCGAGACAAATGTCTTTCCAACAAGGTTTGCAACCTTTTTTCTTGGTGATGGAGATGAAGTTTGTGTTACTGACTTCTATTTTTGTCTTTCTAGTAGTTTTTTTATAATTTTTCAGTCTTCGCTCAAGATCTTCTATTTTCTTCTGCTGTTTTTTTATTTCTCTATAAGCAGCACTTATGTCTTTCGTTACAGCCTTCCTTCCCCTTTTCTTTTGGCTGGATTCATTTGCCTGAATCTCAGCTGGTTCATCTATGCCTGGCGAATCTGGTGGCGTGTTGTTCAAGGCTTGGGCCAGTGCAGCATTTTTTTCTTTCTTCTTTTTATATTGTTCTCTCCACATCTTTCGAATCTTCCTTTGCTCTCTTGCTGACATATCTTTCACTGACTTCTTCTTCTTTTCCTCTTTTTCTTTTTTATATCTGTCTCTGTCATATTGTTTCTTTTTTTCCAGTTCATCTTCGGTCAATTTGGCTCGTCTCTTTCTTTGCCTCTCTCTGGCCTTTTCTCCCTGCCGTTCTAATTTTTCTTTTGCCGATTGGCCTGACTTTTTGGCTGGAGCCATAACACAATAATGGTCTTCCTAAAAAAAAGGAAGGTGATTACTATATTTTGTAAAATCTATACTGGCCATTATGAATGGATGTAGTTAAAGACAGTGAAAATGTGGTTTTGTTCACATATTGCCCATGTAATATAGGGATACATGAACCAGAGCCAAACTTAAATGTTTTTGTGTTAAGATTAGGGATAGAGAAAAATATATAAAACATATATTAACTTTTCAAATTAATATATTTCCAAACACGTCTTATTTTTATTATTAATAAAATCCAGTTGCAAATACAAAGGCCATAATAGTTTTAGGCCTACTGGTGTGAATAACTTGGAAAAAATCAAATATTTAATCAAGTATATAAAGTGAAAAATTTATAGAATTACGTGAAATAACAATAACAAAAACCCCTTAGGTTTATTTGAAAATACTAGGTTAAAACTAGTTAAATAAGCATATAATTTCCATCCCGGTCATGTTAATTTTTTCTGGTCACACATATTCCTTCCCGGTCACGTTACCGGACAGAGTGTGACCGGAAAGTAATTCCGAGATATTTATTAGGGCCATATACCTTGTTCAACAAATACCGACACCAAATTTTGAGGTTAGGGCCAGTCTACGATGTGTCGTCCAGAGAATGTTTCATAATTATGATTGAATTAATTTTAATAGTGGTACATAAATGTGACCAGAAAGAAATAAATTAACAAACTATCAACTTCTTACCTTGTTTTGCTGTAAAATTGAAGCAATTTCTTTTCTTTTTTCACTGAAAGTATCTAAAAACGTGTAACACACCTAGTTCACAACACAGTATGCCATCTTCGCACGCTTTTCGCACCAAACCTAGGAAATGGGTGGTGTTTTTTCATTCCAGTACTCGATCCTACTGGTCTTTGACGACATGGCTTCATGATAAAAAAAAACTTCTGCCGTTTTTCTTTGCCAATCAACTGTCTTCTATTATTTAGCTCCCAAACCCAATTAATTTCATTTATTTTCATGGAACATACGTCATTCTGTTTGTTTACATTTATATCCCAAATAGCAGACTCCTGTGTAGACGACCGTGACCGGAATGGTAAACAAACTAGTTAGGATCTTCATAATTATTATTGAACTATTTAATACAAACGAAAACTCTGTTTTTCGTGCAAGGAAATAGGTAAGGGAAACACAACAAATTGAACTACATTTAATACTTATATTATCAGAATTTTATGTGAGACTGTGAAATGTCTCATTTGGGGATTTTGACCCCTATCAATATTTTTTTGGTAGATTGCTGGGGACCAGAGGGACAGAGACCTTTTACCCAGATCAGAACACCTACCTAGGCAACTTTGATTTACACTCATTTAATTAAGTATTTAAATATATCCTGCCAAACACTAATAACTGAATATGGTGAATTGGAGGCTTATACTGATTGAATGAAATTAACTGTAGATAAATTGCTGAGGGTGAAATATCAATGAATTTAATTGAGAAATGGTATGGAACAATCTAAGGACATATGATAAACATTTTCATGTTTGAAAAGGCTCCTACAAAAATACCTACATTTCAAATGACGAGCTTGCTTCCGCTTACTTCCTGACTTAGCCAGACATATTAATTAATCTAATTACTAAACAATACTTAATTATAACTTATGTCATATCTCGAGCAGGAGTTCTTAATTTCGGTGTAGCCTCTTCAATCCCTAGCCGGTGAAGGAGAGTAGGTAGGAGAGGTGAGGTAGAGCGTTAGTACAGTCGCGGTAGGTTACAAACTGGTCTTATAGCCCGGCTTCGCGAATGCTCACACTATAAAAAATATATAGCGTGCCGCTATGCATCACATTCCCTAACAGCGAACACGGAATTGCTGGGAGCCTCGGCCTTGGAAGGGGCCTCAAATCTTTTTCTTGATAAATTTATTTCACCGATAATCTGTTTTGCCGCAATTGTGGGTGACTTTAGTGCAATCTGCACGACGGCAGCAAAATATCTAGGACACTATTTTTCCGTTAACGTAGGAGTCACTAATCATCCGCCATCGAGTAAGTTGTCCAGGATTTTATCGCAACCGCAGGACCCACAAACTCAGAAGATCTTCACGATTTTGTCATGATCGAAGGATGCGAAAATGACTTCCCCGCACTCGTGCAAGATTTCAACTATTTCTCCGTAGCCATAGCTCCCTAAAGCTATTAATAGAGATCTGATAGGCTACTGTTTGCAGACGATAATCATAAAAAAATAGTACAGAAGAGCTTTTTACATCCTTCACAGAAGCTATGAAAGAAATGGAAAATTGGTTGAAAATAGCCTAAATAGCCATTGATAAAACCCAAATTATCAAATTTTCAGCCAGAAATTAAAGAGAATTAAAAAGTTTTTCCAATTAAGTTCATTCAAATAAATTCCTAGATATTCATTTAGGCCTAGATCAACATATTAACTGGAAGGTGCATCTAGATGTTAAATATAGAAAAAAAATAGATCCAAATCATCTATCTTTGTCTACTTGAGAGTTGTGTCACCCATTGAAGAAAGTAATGGTTTATCACATCTATGTAGAACCCATCTTGAGATATGGTGTGATTTTGTGAGGACTGGCAACTGATACTAAAATTATTTTCAGACTTCAGAAAAGAACCCTCCGAATTATGAGTAATCCCCCCCCCCAGAAGTTCTTGTAAATAACTTTTTCAAAATTTAAAAATCCAAACACTCAAAGGACTATTACCATAGATAAATCATACTCCCTTGGTAGATTTGTCATCCTTATGGAACAGCTGAGGCCAATTTTATTGTTAGTTCTGTACGTCCAACTGTAGAGGTTATGTATTGTTTACAATTTGTTTCTTGTTATTTCAGTAATTTAAAACCTCATTTAACCAAATAAAACGATTTAATCATAAACAATAACTGGTCTCCTAGTTATATAACCAAACAGTAAAGCACAAATCAAGAAATTAACCCTAAAATAATAGAAACAAAATGTTGTCTACCTCAGCGATCGGTGTGGACGTACATGAACTAGACACGAAAAACAAGCTTCAATATTTACAATGAGATGAGGAGTCTACTTGTGTTGCTGGGTCGATGTCTACTTGTACCGGCGTCTAGTTGTACCTGCTGCATTTTGGTGACAGGCGTCTAGTTGTACCTCGTCCAAAACTGTAGGTACAACTTGACGATGGTGCGGACGTCTAGTTGTACTTAAGTCTAGTTGTCTGCTACGTCTAGTTGTCTGCTACGTCTTGTTATACCTCTTAAAAATCTGCAGGTGCAACTAGTCGGGTACGCCCCCGACTATTTGTACCTCATACGTCTGCGTCTACTTGTACCTACGACTACTTGTACCTAAGTCTAGTTGTACCTACGTCTAGTTGTACCTACGGCCAGTTGTATCTCCCCTTCAACTTGTCACCAGTTTAAGGGTCTTTTTTATTTTTTTAAGAATCATACAATCTTGCAACAATTTTGTATAAACTTGCTACAAAAGCCAGGAACATTTGGCTTGTCTGCAGCTCATTGAGAAACCCCTGTTCTTGATATCAATGTACTGTGTCCCTTGGTCAGTCCTTATCCATATTACACTTTTATTTTCCTTATTTCTTGTCAAGATCTGCTATTATTGTTTTTTTCCACTTAAACTCTACCTTTCTATAGAAAACTAACAACAACTTAAAACAATTATCTTAAATAAATAAATTCAGAGATTACAAAAACAAGTAATTGAGTATAATGAAGTGTTTTTGTATGGTATTAGTCACGGAGAATATTACAACAAGTTCAAATAAAAAATGTATATGTTATTCTTATGGATATTGCGTAAACTGGCGTAGTTTGGTTGTTGATGCATATACTTTGATAAATTAGTTTATTTCACACTTAACTACTAACTTTTCTCAAAAACACATCTTAATTACCTTCTACGCAACAGTTTCAAATTAATATATAGATTAACATCCAACTGTAAATTTTCGTGTCTAATTCATGTTGGTGACACTGATCGCTAGCGATGACAAAATTTTGTTTCTATTATTTTAGGGGTAGTTTCATGATTTATGCTTTACCGTACTGTTTGGTTATATAACTAGGGGACAGTTTATTGTTTACGACTAGATCGTTTTATTTGATTTAACGAAGTTTTAAATGATTGAAATAACAAGACACAAATTATAAACAAAATACGACCTCTACCATGCACCGGACACAACTTTAAATAAAATCATAGATAAAACATACTCCCTTAGTAGATTAGTCATCCTAATGGAACAGCTGAAGCCAATTTTATTGTTAGTTCTGTACGTCCAACTATAGAGGTTATGTTTTGTTTACAATTTGTTTCTTGTTATTGCAGTCATTTAAAACCTCGTTTAACCTAATAAAACGATATAATCATAAACAATAACTGGTCTCCTAGTTATATAACCAAATAGTAAAGCACAAATCATGAAAATAATCCTAAAATAATAGAAACAAAATGTTGTCTACACTAGCGATCAGTGTGGACGTACATGAACTAGACTCAAAAAACAAGCTTCAAAATTTACAATGGGATGAGGAGTCTACTTGTGTTGCTTAGTCTATGATAAAATAGTCACTTGCTGATCCATAAGAATCAGAAATCTACTAAGGGACAAGGGAGTATGTTTTTCCATAGCAACACTCTATTTAATTAGGTGTGAAAAACTGTCGTAACCTTGAAAGTAACCCTCGATTTCGATGTGTTTCACCTATGTTTCAGACAGTGAGTGCATCCAATTAAAAACTCACCACAACTCCTATTGCCCGTTCAAAGTGGGAGTTCCTTTAGATGTAGCTGGTGAGATATTGGACCCTAGCTTTTGGCCTAGGGGAGTGTTGGTGAGAGCATTTCTGCCATCGAGTCGGGAGCCTAGGGGGGAACGAGTAACTAGGAATTATCCTTTTTTAGGACGAACATTTCACCGAACAGTGACAACATAAGTCCAAGCCAGAGAGGTCTAGGCTTAGGCATTAAGCAACCTA